CGACAGGCCTAATCTAGCAAAGCACTTCTGTTCCAATGAATTGGTTGTCCTCCGTTCGTGTACAATTAACCTGAAGTTAGAGAACCAATGTGCTTCCAACACACAATGGCTCTTTATGACTCTAACACTAGATTTGTGAAAAACATCTGACTATATTTGGTAAGACAGTAATATTTTATACATATACTTGCATCGAATGAACGAATCTGGTATCCATAACCTAAACAGAATCTAGGAAAAACATTACATAGCAAATTAGGTCACCTACATAAACACAGGAACATATTTTTAAACTTATACCACTAAATTTACAAAGGTTTTGAAAATATCTATCTAACCACTTGTTAATTATGTACAATGTGAAGGTTTCAAACATTACAAAATCTAATTAGACATATAAATATAGTGAATAAAAATATAAGTTTAAAAAAGTACAAATCCTCAATTCCAAAAATGACAAGAAGAATCTCACCAATTATGTATTTCTATAGATTAGGTCAACATTTTTTTTTATCCTCACCTGAGGATATTTTTTCCATTTATCTTTAGATAGAGTAGAGGGGAGACAGAGAGAGAGAGAGAGACATTGATGTGAGAGAGACACATGGACTGGCTGCCTCCTGCATGACTCGGACCAGGGCTGGGAATGAACCACAACCGAGGTAGATGCCCTTGACTGAAATCAAACCTGTGACTCATTGGTCTGCGGGCCGATGCTCTAACCACTGAGCCAAACCGGCCAGGGGATAGATTAAGTCAACATTTCTAAAGGGACTGTTGCATCTGAATTGTGGAAGTCTAACCAAAGATGCAGGGTGAGTGGGAAGTACTTTCACTAGCTTACATAAAATTCAAGCTTGGATTCTTACTTCCTTTGTATCTTAACACTTTCATGCAGACTATGAACTTTTGAACATTTTATGTCCTAAAATATTTACCTTTTAGTCAGTCACTGGCAAGCTTGTGTATGTGTGGTGGTGTATGCTAAACTATATGCCTGGGAAAAAGAAGAGGATCCAATCTAAACTGTAATGCTATTACATACACACCTAGTTCCTATTTATCAACTAGTATAGCAGTACTGTGTTCTGAAAGACTTCTGGGTAACACAGGCTATGTAACACCACAAGTGAAATGATGGAAGATTTAAAGTCAGAACTGCAGTGGAGGTAACGGAAACCCATGACAGGTTCAGAATACACTAGTAGGTCTTAAAATTTCAATTAGCCCTTTCAATGCAGACCTTTTTAAAAAGCTATCATTTTACAACTACATTAGTCATCACTCAACAGACAAAAGATTAAAATACTATTTAAATAAATGACTTTCAAACTTTTTAACTATAAAACACAGTATGAAATATACTTTACCTGCTGATCCAAAATACATGTGTGTGTATATATATATACAAACATATATATAAACACTTACTTATATATACACATATATTAACGAAAGCCACATTTTCATAATATAATACCTCCTTTAATGTATTAAAATATTCTTGTATTTTCTATTCTACTTCTTTTTTTAATGAAAATACTATCTATGGTCCATTAAACTGATTTCAGCATCTACTAAGTGGGTCACAGACTGCAATTCAGTGACACTGACCCCACCATTCGCATCTAACTGTAGGAATTATTTAACAATGGCATAGCTTGTAATAGCCACATTTGTGATGGGGGAAGAGGGAGATAGAAAAAGGTCTTTTTCCTCTTCTCGCCCGCACTAGTGCACAGCTGTGAATTATCAAGAGAAAGCAGCAGCTCTCACGTGAAAGCAGAAATGCCACCTGCCTCGATGCTTTGCCTAAATCCACACGAGCCCAGCCACCTGCCACTGTAGCTCCTGCTCCCTTTGGTTGACACTGCAGTTTTCACAGGTGAATTGTGAGGAACATAAGAACCCACAATGGGGCACCTATCACCTTCTAAATCAAAATAACTTTTCATTTGCATTAGGAAGCTCTCAAAACCATTTATAAGACTAAGAAGAGAGTCTGAGGTGTGTTGTTTTAAAGTATGGTATACTGTTAGGTAGAATAAAATTTTTAAAATCTGAGGAGCTGAGAATTTTTCATTTATTTCACAATTTTCACAATATAGTGTAAAAATAAGTAACATTTATATGTAACATAATAATGCATTAAATGTCAGTTTGTAGCACCTAGAGCAGGACAAACAGCAGGTGCTCCGAAAATACTTTCTGATTTGAGCTAAGTAAGCATAATGATGCAATTCAACAATGACTTCATAATAGCAAAACAGTTTTTTATAATATTAATGCTTTATGATATAATGTATAATGTTTTATACTGTTATAGTTTTGCTCAAATTAAATTCACCTATATTTTCTGTAAAAAGTATAATATTTTAAATACTGGCCATGTGAATCACGATTATAATTATTATTTGCTTGCCTTGATTGTTCAGAGAAGAAAGAATTCTGTCGCCCTCTTGTGGTACTTTTGCTGTAGTGTATCCTGCAGGAGTTCCACATCAAGTGAAATATTTCCTTTTCACTTGAAGACGCAAAATGCTAATTTGACACTAGTTTCTGAATTTCCAGATGCAGTACATATATTTTCTGCCCTCCAGAGTACATATACTTTGTGTCCTCCTTCAGTTTTCACCTGAGAAATTTAGTCTTTTCCTTGCTCTTTTAGGAAATATTCTCTTGTTCCCTTCTAATCACCATATCAAATAAATCTTTCCAAGTTATTTTCTGTATTATTATCATTTTTTTTAAATCCTCACCCGAGGACATTTTTGAATTTATCTTCAGATAGAGCAGGAGGGAGAGAGGGAGTAAGAGAAAGAGAGAAACATCGATGTGAGAAGGACACACCGAGTGGCTGCCACCCACACGACCCCAACCAGGACTGGGGACAAACTGCAACCGAGGTACGTGCCCTTAGCGGGAACTGAACCCAGGTCTCTCTGGTCCACGGGCTGATGCTCTGACCACTGAGCCAAACTGGCCAGGGCTATTTTCTGTATTTTAATACACATACAAAATATTTACAGCAAATCTCCACTGTCATGATAACCTTTAAATATAAATCATTAAAAATGCATGGGCTTCCCTGGCTGGTGTAGCTCAGCAGTGAGAGAGTTGGCCCAAGAAGGGTCTCGGGTTCGATTCCCAGTCAAAGGCATGCACCTGGGTTGCAGGTTTGTCCCCAGCCCCGGGTGGGGCATGTGTGGGAGGATCGATATTTCTCTCTCTCTCTTCCTCCCTCCCTCCCTTCTATCCACTCTCTCTAAAAAGCAATAAAAAAACATTCTCGGGTGAGGATCAAAATAATAAACAAATAAATAGATAAAAATGCATGCCCGGCATTTTCCTCTAGGGGAATAGGTCTTGTTAAGTTAATTCATGGTCCAGAAATTTCAGAGGCTAATGATATTAGTCTAAACATTTTAAGTTTTCAAAATTAATAAAATTGTCTTTTCTTTACAATAGTCTCCATCACAGCCAACTGGGAGCAGCAGATGCGCTGGAGGAGAGAGGCGGGCGGAGTGAAAGGCCGCAGGTGGCTAAGTGGTGCGTCCGCAGCACGAAGCGCTGGGCAGGTCAGAGCTGTGGAACGATTGCTGGCTGTGGTGTGGGGCAGACTGGTGGCTAGGAGGAGACAGGGCAGCCCTTTACAAGTTGTTTGCAAGGACGAGGGCCTGGATCAGGCAATGGAGAGAAGACAAGAAATTGAGAAATACTAAGAAGTGGAATCATTAGGTGTTAATTACTGGGGGGGGGGGGGCTGGTCGGGGGTGGGAGGTCTCAAGCTCACATTCCATCTCTGGTACTCGGCAGATGTACCATTCAGAGACAGGTAATGACATTTTCAGACATGCTGCATTAGTAGGGCCACCTGGAAACAGCAAGTAAGTCAACAGGGTTTGAGGAGATGAAGCCCAGGAGAAAGGACTGTGTCAATTATCAGTGGGTAGGTACTAAAAGAAATCTGGGTGGGAGAGCATCCCAGGAGAGCGTGAAGAATGGGAAGAGATGAAAGCTGAGTGTGGGACTGGCAATATTTAAGGATAGTCCCATCTTCCTGTTAAAACAGTTACTTTAGTCCTATAGTCATCCAGTCTGTTCATGTTGCAACAGGAGATCATTTAGTCTCCCTATAACCAGCAGATCAGAAAACTGAGGATCAAAAAGGTTAAGTGACTTTACTTATAGATATTTATCTATAGAAGTGAATAAAAACTCAGGTTTTTCCCTGGCCAATTTGGTTCAGCAGTTAGAGCACTGGCCATGGACCAGAGAGTCTCGAGTTCGATTCTGGTCAAGGGCACGTACCTTGGTTGCAATTTGATCTCTGGCCCTGGTTGGGGTCCTGCAAGAGGCAACCAATCAATGTGTCTCTCTCACATCAATGTTTCTCTCTCTCTCCCTTCTTTCCACTCTATCTGAAAATCAGTGAAAAAATATCCTCGGGTAAGGATTAAACAAACAAACAAAAAATACTCAGGTTTCCAGACTGACCTAAGTTGCTCCATACTAACATGGTTCAGATGCTCTCTTTCTAGTACTATGTCCTCCTTCCTTCTGCCTTGTAAAATCTTCAGTCAACAAGTCAAAGATCCTTTCTTCAATAACTGTCCGATGGTAGTAAATGCTTCTATTGTTATTTTGCATATACCATCAATACTACAATGTTATATTTTCGAGGTAACCTTCCAACAACATAGTTCCTTAATAAGGCCCCAAATTTACAACTCAACACATGCTTCCTAAGTAACCTAGGAAACAAGAAAATGCCCATTTGTATAGTCATGAATAGCAAATGACAATAATATCAAACACACACAGGAAACGTTCATAAAACACTTCGGAGAGGAAAACAGCTGTAGCTTTTCTCTGCCGTATTTTTTAAATCTTAGATGGTTGAGAATGGGTTTCAGCAATGAATTCTGTCATATATGCCAGAACACATTTTCGTGAATGTACTTAAGAGAGGCAAAAAGCTAGAGACTTCTTTGGCGTACCTGCTTGGTTGGGCCGCTGCCAGCTTGGTGACTTGATGACGCTGGTGGGTCCCAGCGGCTTGAAAGCAGCAGCAGTCGTGAGCCCGGCCACCCCTGGTCGGGCAAAGGCCGGGCTCTGGGGCCTTGCGGGCACGCTCTGTGCCGCCGCCGCCGATGAAGTCACGTGCTGAGAAGGCTCCTGGGCGTCGCTGGAAAGAAATTAAGAAAACATTTTGGTGAAGTGGTAGCAAGCTAACCTCGCAATGATTGTTTGATTTCTCAACCTATTAAATCTGTAAGAGAAACAAAAATAATAACCAATTAACTAATATTTAAAAACAACAACAACAACTCTAAAACGACGACTTGGGGACTGCTCTTAAAAAAAAAAAAAAAAAAAAGGGAAAGGACTCAGATTACCTTTGTTCAATACTTTGGAAATTCTCTTTGAAAGGTCTACCCTGAGAAATTAAGTTACTAAAAAACATATATAGCCAATCCTTTTAAATAATAACCTAATGTCCTATTCCTCTCTATCTCAACATTTAATCATCTAAATTAAAATAATCAATTATTAAAGAATCTCTGAAGATCTCTATGAAATGGCACAGATATTTTTTTGCCCCTTTCCCACATTCTGCTGGGTTGTTTGTTTGTTTTTTTAATCCTCACGCAGGGACATTTTCCCCTTTTTGTTCAGATAGAGTGGGAGGGAGAGAGAGAGAGAGAGAGAAACATCAACGTGAAAGGGACACATTGAATGGCTGCCTCCCCTACGACCCCAACCAGGGCTGGGGATGAACTGCAACCGAGGTATGTCCCTTGACTGAACTGAACCTGCGACTCACCAGTCCATGGGCCGCTCTAACCACTGAGCCAAACCAGCCAGGGCTCTGCTGGTATTTTATGAACTAAGTTTCTCTGACACCTCACCAGTCACTCTTTCACTCAGAGACTCAGTCACTCATTCACTCAATGAATATTTAAGCAGCTGCTCTCTGTCAGACATTGTGCTATATACTGGCCACACCATGGTAAACAAGACACATCTCCAGTCTAATAGAACATCTACTGTTCTGTGTCCATTACACAGGAAAACAAGAGACAAGACCATCACTGTCCACTCGCAATCAATCGTTTGCTTCACAGAAGGCCTTATCTGTGCTGGTTCCAGTCTGATTTAGATCATATGGTTTTTATCATCCATTTATTTGTTACTTATGATTATATGTCATTTTCAAAAAATTTTTAGATAGCTCAAATGATAAAATATGCACTTTGGAATGATACAATACTATAACAGTTTCTCTCAATTGAAATATAATAAAAATAGTTATAACAACAACAATGATACATTCTACCAGTTTTTCAATAAAAATTGAGGTACTGGTTAGTTAGATAATTCCATGAACAGAAACTCATTTTCTGAAAGCAACAGCTGGAGCAACAGATTGACACAGGATACTATATTAATGACTGCAATAAAATAAATACACTTAATTATACTGTTTGGGTTGAGATTATTTCAAGGAAAAGAAACTTCAAATTCAATCATGTCTACTACACTAACAAGTGAACAAGAATACCTAATTTCCCCAATGCCTCTTGAATCTCGGATAACACCTAACTAAGGAGGCCCGAAGCTGCCTATCCTTGGGAAGGCCTGCTTGCAAGGTCGGCCTTTGACTGGCACTTGGGAACTTGGCTCGTAAACAGTTCCCTACAGTCATATAAAACTTTCTCTAAAAGATAAGAGTTGCTCACTGTGCCTAAACTACATGAACAGTTTTGTTTATGTTAAATACTTGTTTTCCTTCTGAGAGGCTGAAACTAGGCACAGTGTACTATGTAACGAGCCTCAACAAAAACTGTCTTAGGTACTTCGTTTCCCACGAGCTTCTCCGGTAGACACCACTTTGCACATTTTGTCGTAAGTCATCACTAAGGAATCAAGCACATTCTGTGTGACGTCGCTGGAAACCTCATTTCTCCCAGACTTGATCCCGCATAGCCTCTCCCATTGCTGATTTTGCTTTGTATTCTGTTACTGTAATAAATCTTACTCATGAATACAACTACGTACTGAGTTCTGTGAGTCCTCCGAAGAATCATCAAACCGGGGGTGGTCTACCTCCAACACTGAACAGTTTTGAAAAATCATACTAGTGCTATTTTAACATTCTTGAAATATTGTTCTCTCAAATTCAAGTATAATAGAGCCACCTTATTTTATCATGTCTAATCAGTTTAATGAAAAACTAAAACCTGCTCGATAGTAAAACATACTACACAATGAAAACTGTAAGCACTTTAATAATTTTTATAATAAATAAAAACGGAAAGATTGCTTACTTAATGGCAATTATTAATGAAGATGACAGAATAAATAATATTAATGGAAACAGCTTAAGCATCATAGTATAATGGCTATGAGCACCTTTTAAAAGCTGTGTGACAAACTATTTTACTTCTCTAAACCTCAGTTACCAAACTTTAAATGGGGATAATACTTTACTCGTAAGAGTTCCACGAGGCTTAAATATGATAATTATGCACAAAGTTCTTAGCATACTCTAAGGCACAGATTATGAAGTTAACATATGAAAAGGGTAATTAATGTATTCAAATAATAAAATATTTGTTTTCAATATTTTTACACATTAAAAATAAAAGATTTTTTAAAATATTATATAAGTACAGATCATTTTAATTTTACAGTTACTCATATGCATTTTAAAAAAATAACTAATAATCATATAGTCACAGTTCTGAGAAGAAAATTTATGACTAAGCAATACTAAAAGTTACAGATAAAACAAAAATATAATATGGAAATAACAACAAAACCCAAATCATCATTTTATGTTTAATAACCTGAAAGAATTAGAATTTAATCCTAGGAGAGTTGTCAGACAGACTTACATAGAAGAAAGTGACCAGGACGACAGGAAATCAATGCCAAGCCTAATAGAATTTGGTTGAGAGAACTGGTACTATTGGCCCAGGATACAAAAAAAACTCAGGAGAGCACAAGAGCAATCCTCAAATGTGGGACAAAGAATTCACTCAACATGGCTCCATTCTGTTGGCCTAATGCTGAGTCGAATCTATAGTGAGATAGATTTGATTCAATAAAAGAAAGTACTTCCTAATATGATAAGCTGTCGAAAGGAAAAAATGTGTTTCCTAACAACGCCTTGCAGAGAGATCTGTCTCCAGAGGTACTTAAGCAGAGGATGAAGGTGCAGTAGAACAAACTGAACCATTTAGAGGGGGGCGGACCAAGCTATACTTCTGCGTGACATTCAGTGCCTAAGATATAGCCACCATCTCCCTCTCTAATCATACTTCCTGCCACTTTGCTATGCAAACTACATTCTGGCCACACCTCCTCCCTGTCCACAGTTCTGTTTTTCCTGGCTCCACAGAGATGGCCCCTCTCCCCGCTCTCCCTCTGCACCGGTCCAAACCCTATCCATAATTAACAGTAGTAACAATAATACCCACTATGCACTGTGTACCATGCTAAACAATTCACACATTTTATTTAATCACATAATCTTTTAAAAGTATAGACACTCTTTCCTCCGGTTCATGGCATATATTAACTGTATGACATATAGTTACATTTTGATTTGGAATAGCCAGTGATTTTTTTAAAAAATTAATAATTTTTTTGTTGTTTTTTAATCCTTACCTGAGGACATGTTCTCAATGATTTCAGAGAGAGAAAGGGAGACAGAGAGGGAGAGAGAAACACTGATGTGAGAGACAAACATCAATCGGTCACCTCATGTACATGCGCCCGGACCAAGATTGGACCACAACCTGGGTATATGCTCTGATGGGGAATGGAACCGTGACGCTTCGGTGCTCAGGACGATGCTCCTACCAACTGAGTCACACAGGCCAAGGATATAGAACATTTTTTATGTATCTTGTCTCATCCACTACATTATAAATTATCTAAGGTTTGGGCCTTTACTACGATCTTGGGTGTGTTACTTAAACTTGGTAAGTTTTCTTGTCTGTAAAATGAGATGAAAATACTACCTTTATTCCAAGGTTATTGTTAGAAATAAAATACAATAAAGTAATACATGTGAAGCACTTAGCACAGTTCTGAGCACATAGTATATGCTCAAGAAATGACACATCCCTAAATACCTAGTTCAGCTATCTAGCAATAAGTACATTTACTAACTACACCCCTCATCTGTACTCGTAATGTTAATTATAAATGTAGTGTGTGATCATTTTGATTTCAGGCTTTTGAGACCAGACACAAGCTTGCTTCCTCAACTCAATTTTAAATAACATACAATATTTTTTAAAATGCCCATGAATTCAGTGTCTCATAATCCAAAAAAAAAGTTTTCATTTTTTGTTGTTTCCTTTGTACATAAGCTTGTACGTATTTTCTCCCAAAAGTTTTAAGATGTTTACATCTCAAAGGGTATTCAAGTTATAGACAAGAAAGTTGTTACATTTATGTTTCAATTCAGAACTGATCAGCAGAATTCAATATTCTCTGGCAAAATGGATCTCCATTTACTGAAGACATTTAATGTAGTAATGAAAGAATATTAGGTTTTATCTAGACAATCATAAATCTGAATATAGGATGCCTAGGTCTCCAAAAGTCTGTTTTTTCTAATTTTAAACTATTACCTACCATTTAAAGAAAATACATAAACATTAGGTATCATGTAAAAGAATTAATAAAGTCACTGTCCATATTTTATATTTGAAAATAAAATATTATCAATAATCCATTAATAACAAAATACTTTTATTATTTTTATTGATTTTTAGAGAGAGAGAAGGCAGGAGAGGGAGGGAGAGAAACTTCGATGCATGAGAAAAACACTGATTGGATGACCCCCCCCCAAATACACACACACCGGCTTGCACCCTGACCAGGGATCGAGTCCATAATCTGGGCATGCGCCCTAACCAGGAATCAAACTGTTGACCTATTGATGCACAGGACAACACTTAACCAACTGAGCTACACTGGCCAGGGCAACAGCAAAATACTTTTAAATTAATGACTAATTTATTAATACAATATGGTATGATTACCTAAATTAGATTGGTATCTTATTTCTAAAATAATGACTCATATACTTTTTTCTAAATTTAAATTGTTTAAGGTATACCTAAATTCTAAACACAACTGAAAATGCTTTCTGAAAGATTCTAATGA